TCTTCCAGCTTTTTTGGTTCCCGGCTTGGCAGCTTGCCCGTAAAAAACTTTGGCGGGCTCGCAGGTGGGTACCACGCGGGTAGGGGGCGCCCACTTTGGGGATTGGGGCCCGTACGTGCATGTAGATTAAGTTCCCAAAGTTTCAGCCCTGTGGCTTTTATAGGTCATGAGGTGAAAAATCGGTACAGACACACAAGCGCACAGACATCCAGACAACCCCTTGTCAATATGCGTTTCTTACATTGCATAGCTGCAAAAAACGCATAAAAAGTAAAATTGTTTTAAAAACCTGAATGAACAGGAATGTTTCGGCCCATTAAGTCAGAGACTTTCCTATTCAGCACCTCAGCTGAGCCTCGTCAGTATGACGGTTGTAATGGTGATAAAGTATACCAGTGTGCTAAAGAAAGTGTTGCATCATGACTCCCTCCTAGGCAGTGGCGCGAAAGCGGCCTATACAAGACCACTTGTATTGTAAAGTAGTGTCGATCCAGTATGGAGTTGCGGTATTGTGGAGACAACTTGCGAGGGGCGTGGACCCTGCTACTACCTCGAACTATCACGAAGGAGCCGATGACTCCGACTCAACAAGTCGGAGCAGCAGGGCAGTCGATGAGCCGCCTGGCCACTAATCCCAGTAAACCCAACAAAAGCACTGTATTTCTCCTCTCTATACTCTCCCCGCCACTACCCGTTGCTTGAGCTTACCGGTGGTGAAATACGCCGTTTGGGAGGAATCAATCTGATCAGCGTTGTCATTTCAGGGGTTCCGGTCAGGAGGTCGGTCGTTCCTGTCACTATTTGACATTCAAAGGCAAAAAAGTCCTGGTATGTTTAATCGAATTTTGTCCCAATTTCACTTATCTGTTGCTGTTTGCCCGGAATCAGCTGGGTGCTGTTTTGCAGTTGGACTGTGGCATTCATCCGGGTATGAGCGGCTTCGATGCGCTGCCCTTCGTGGATTATGTGGACTGTGAGGAACTCGATTTGCTACTGGTCACG